CCCGATTTGTATGCCTTTCGACCGGATGCAAGGCCGCGACCACTGACCATGCGAAACACGCATTATCCGTGGACTGCACGTTAATTACCGCTCTCTTTAACATAATTTCCCGCGGTAACTCGATGTAACACCCCGCGTGCATGGGATTATATTTATTAACATTAATTGTTAAATTTAATATACGTGATAGCGCCCATCCACTGTCGCGTTCTTGAAATTCTTCGAGCGATGCCAACGTAGGTTCAATGACGTGCTGCTCGTACCACTCATCCACATTTGACACTCGAAAGAGTTCACTATTTTTAGTATTTATACTTTTATTGGCGCGTTTATCGCCCGTCACAAACTCGCCGTTGAACGTGGTGTTCACTTTTACATTATCGTGTCTTTCTATAATGTCTCGCACTCGTTCGAGCACTACACCACCGGCATCTTCCAAAAATCGTCGCGGCTCGATATAGTTCACGTTGATCACCGCACCAGTCAATATACGGCTTTCAAACGCCGTATCAATCTCGTGCCAAACGAGAGATCCATTGTCTCTACTGGTGCTCGCGTACTTGCCACCAACGTGCACGAAACGTCTTTCTAATTGTACCTTTGCACCCGCGAGTCGTGCGATCCTCGTCACCACAGATTGTCTATTTGCAACGGTGAGTCGAGGACGCTTAACACGACTAAGTTCTTCGAGTTGTTCGATACACTCGTCGCATTGTTGCAGCCACGCGAAACACTCCACCAAAGTAGCGACCTGGCTGCATTGTTCTAGCAGCTCGCGTTCCACTCGCTCGAGATGTTCCATTTTTTTTATACTGCGTCCCACGAAGCACTTGCACTTGCACGTGATTTGTCCACAATATCGTCTTTTTTTTTTACGCGGTGCAAATTGGGCACATATTGCATGGCATTATTATACAGACGGACTGTTGGCAATTGGAGCAAACTCGACCGTTTAACGCATCAAGAGTATTTATCTCATGCTTCCTAACGGCATACAATACTCCAATGTCAGTGTCCGCAAGACGAACCATGCATTCGGCACATATAATTAGAGCACCACCTGTCGAATAATAAAATTGTATTGAACAATACTTTTTATTATTATTCAACGCAAGGAGTTCCGAACGCGTAACAATTTTTTCTGCATAATCCGTTAGCTCGTCACTCTGATCACTTATGCAATCACTGTCGTCAGACAACGCATGTTCATCTTCGTCTTCAATGTCAATGTTAATATTGTCAATATTATTAATCTCCATTTCTAGTTCATCTCCAAACTCTTCGTCCACTATATTCCTGAGGTTCTCCATGTTTATATTAAACACATTTTCTATATTTAACACATTATTCATATTCACTATTTTTCTTACACAGTATCGCGATCGATATTCGTTTCGAGACTTCCGAGATCTACTGTGATTCGGTGTGCCCAAGGATCTACTATATATATCGTCTATAATTTCATTGTCCCTTTGTCGAACTCGAAGCATGATCATAAGTTTTCCGAATCACAATTTTGATTTTTTGTAGCAGCCCTAAGTTTTCCCGTTTTTTTTTATCTTCCAAATTTTTTCCGATTAAGAAGATTCGATAGAAAAGATTTGATGTACTTTTTTTTTTTTTAAAGATTAGTCATAACTT